AAAAAAAAAAAAAGTAGGGTGAATAAATTAGGATATATTATACATATACATATATAAATATACATATACATACATATAAATATATAGATATATAAAGTAGGGTGAATAAATTAGGGAGGATACCTCTGCTCTATTAGATCCTCTCTAATAAATTATAGAAGCCAAACACCAGTGGTTCACACTTATATAATTTTAGCTTCTCAGGAGACTGAGAACTGAGGTCTTGCCATTTGAAGCCAATCCAGGCAGGAAAAGTCCACAAGACTATCTGGAGGTGCAGTGATAGAGTGCCATAAGCAAAAAAAGTTGAGCAAGAGCCAGAGGCCCTGAGTTTAAACCCCATACCATCATAAATAGTGAACTGAGATCAGGAAGAATATGTTGAAAAAATAAAAATACTCGGGTGCTGGTGGCTCATGCTTGTACTCCTCACTACTCAGGAGGTTGAGATCTGAGAATCATGGTTCAAAGCCAGCCCAGGCAAAATTTTTTTTTTTGGGGGGGGGTCCAGTCGTGGGGCCTGAACGCTGTCCCTCAGCTCTTCAGCTCAAGGCTAGCACTCTACCACTTGAGCCACAGCGCCACTTCTGGCTTTTTTTCTTTTTGCTTATGTGATGCTGGGGAATTGAACCTAGGGCCTCAGGCATGCAAGGCAAGCGCTCTACCACTGAGCCACCTTCCCAGCCCCAGTGAGACTCTTATCTCCAATTAACCACAAGGAAACCAGAAGTGGCACTGTGGCTCAAAGTGGTAGAGCACTAGCCTTGAGCAGAAAACCTTAGGGACAGCACCCAGAGCACCCAGGCTCTGAGTTCACGCTTCAAGACTGACAAATATATAAAGTGCTCCACCTTCAGTTGGCATGGAAGGTCATTAAGACATGTCTTCTGGAATAGGACTGACCCTGAGTTGTATTTTTCTCTCGTGTATTGTTTCTGTTAGATCTAAGGAGGCAGAGATATACTGTATAGTATATATACTATATACTATACTGTATATAGTATTTACCTTTTTTTTTTCTTGTGACAGTCTTGGGCTTGAACTCAGGAGTTCTGAGTGGATGCTGTCCCCCTTATTATTTTTTTTTCTTCCAGTCCTAGAGCTTGAACTCAGGGCCTGAACACTGTTCCTGAGCTTCTTTTTGCTCACATTCCCAGCCCCTAGCGCTTGAGCCACGGCTCCACTTCTTGATTTTTGGTAGTTAATTGGTGATAAGAGTCTCACTGGCTTTCCTGCCCAGGCTGGGATCGAAATCGCGGTCCTCAGATCATAGCCTCTGGAGTAGCGAGGATTACAGGTGTGATCCTCGGGCAGCCGGCCGGACCCCTTTTTAAATCCTATGACAGCATAGATCTGGAAGAAACTCCGGATTCCAACCTTTTGTCTTCCGGATCTCCGGTCTGGCGATAGCATTTAAATCTCGCGCGCTTTACACGGATTGGCTCTATCAGGAAGGGGCGGGCTATCTGCACGTCGTCACTCTTCCACGCAGGTTCCCCGGGCAAAAGGTTTTCAAATTCGACCAATCGTGGGGCGCGCTTCCTCCTCCGACGCACGTTACGGAAGTGTTGACCGCAGCCAATCAGGGGCAGGGTTAGAGAAAGGAACCAGTCAGGAGGGCGCAGGGGTGTGCCCTGAGAGCTTATAAGGGGAGCTCGAGGCACGCTCGGCGACAGTTGGACTGCGGCGAGTGGCGGTTGGCGGCTCTCTGGCGTCCATCTTCACCCGTCTACCTCGCGCACCATGTCCGGCCGCGGCAAGACCGGCGGTAAGGCCCGCGCCAAAGCCAAGTCGCGCTCTTCCCGCGCCGGCCTCCAGTTCCCGGTGGGCCGCGTCCACCGGCTGCTGCGGAAGGGCCATTACGCCGAGCGGGTGGGCGCCGGCGCGCCGGTGTACCTGGCGGCGGTGCTCGAGTACCTGACGGCCGAGATCCTGGAGCTGGCGGGCAACGCGGCCCGCGACAACAAGAAGACGCGGATCATCCCCCGCCACCTGCAGCTGGCCATCCGCAACGACGAGGAGCTCAACAAGCTCCTGGGCGGCGTGACGATCGCGCAGGGCGGCGTCCTGCCCAACATCCAGGCCGTGCTGCTGCCCAAGAAGACGAGCGCCACCGTGGGGCCGAAGGCGCCGGCGAGCGGCAAGAAGGGCACCCAGGCCTCGCAGGAGTACTGAGGGGCGCCGGCCGCGGCCCGCCCCCCGCCCTCCATGCCACCACAAAGGCCCTTTTAAGGGCCACCACCGTCCTCACCGGAAGAGCTGAGCCGCCTCGGGCGCGGGGCGGCCGGGCCGCCACGCCGCC